TTGCTGGAGTTCACCGAGTAAATGCACATAAAGTTGGCGTCACCTTTAAGAAAGTCTCTTCAGCAAATTACTTTTTAAAAATGGAAGACTTCTTAGCTAAATACAGCATGCGGGCTTTCATCCCAGCATATCTAACTGAGAAAATTGGCATAATAAAGTTTGTTCCCAAAGAACTGTCTAATGAAGAAATTTATAAAAATATAACTTGTGACGCTGAAGTAATATCAGTCAAACGCTTTATGAAAAAAACTAACGAGGGGCTAATACCCTTAACAACAGTAGCAGTAACTTTTGCCACAACTTATTTACCTCTACATGCATATATACAATTATTCCGGTATCAGATTCACCAATATATTCCTCCAGTTTTACAGTGCTTCAAATGTCTGAGGTACAATCACTCAGCCAAGGTTTGCAGAGGAAACCAGATGTGCTCTTCATGTGCTGGACATCACTCCTATAAAGAATGCGAAGTAGACGAAATTACTTGTATCAATTGCAACGGCAACCATTTGGCCATATCCCGAGATTGTCCAGTGAAGAAACAGAAGATGGAAGAGAATATGAAGAAATATTCACAGCAATCTTATGCCACTGTGGTGAGTGCGACACCTCCCAATAATGATATGAATAATTACCCCCAACTTAACTATAAAAGTCAAAACTCTAAGGAATTTGATATCAATCAAATTGCAAATAATGAAATAATACTGAATGCTATTGTAAAATCTTTAATTGCTTTAGGCAACCAAAAGGAAAAAACACCTTTAAATTCTAAGAAAATCAGAGAGACATTTTTATCACATTTAATTTAATGGATAAGTATTTACATTTGCTTCAATATAATATACAAAGCTTACACAACAAAAAAGCCTTATTACAAAATTTATTAAATGACAAAAACATAGATATCTGCTTACTTAATGAGACATGGCTCAAATCTAATAGTAAAATCCCACATTTTCCATCATACAATTTCATTCACAAGATCTCTCAAAATTCTCATAATGGGGTAGGTATGTTAATTAAACATGGACTGAAGTACAGTGTTATTAATACAGTATTTCATGAATCCATCCAGAACATATGTATTTTATTAGAGACGAAATCTGGTCCCATAACTATACTTTGTATATATTGCCCACCAAGTAATAATAATAATCGATTTGACTGTAATAAATTAAAAACACTCATTAACTCCATACCTAAACCAAGCATAATTATGGGAGATTTCAATGCGCATCACGTAGCTTTTGGATGCCACAGCGATAATAATAGAGGCAGGTCATTATACAATATAATAGATGATTGTGATTTGTGCATTATAAATGATGGTACACCAACAACAATTCCATATCCCAATAAGCAAGCTTCAGCAATAGACTTGGCTCTTGTTAGTTCTCAGGTTGCTCATTTATGTGAATGGTATGTACACAATGATCCATTGGGTAGCTATCACCTCCCGACGTTGCTCGACGTGAATGTTCAGCCTTCTTCATATGATGTGACTACTGTAGAAGAGAAATATATTTATAATAAAGCAAACTGGAATGAATACTACTCCCTATCTGAAACTTCTTTTTCTCAAATAGATTGTAGCAATGAGAGTCCTCTTAATATGTATAATAATTTGATTGACATTTTAAATGATTTGCGGGATAAAACCATTCCAAAACGCAAAAGAAAATCAAACACATTAGCCTTGAGAAAACCAGTCCCTTGGTGGAATCAAAAATGTACTGATGCTGTTAATCAATCAAAACAAGCATTAAAAGCATACCGCTCTACATCTACTATAGAAAATTGGATACATTATAAAAAAATTGATGCTCTTAAGAAAAAAATATTGAAAAATGAATGCAAAGAATCTTGGCATAAATTAGTAGGTAGTTTTAATAGGTTAACACCAGTATCTAGAATATGGGGATACATTAAAAAATTTAAACGGATAGGAAGTAGTAATCGAAATCGAAATTTTAATGATGAATGGATCCCAACATTTTTAAATAATTTATCTGATTCTACACAAATATATGAGGATAAAATAAACAAGTTCTTTGAAACAGCTACAGAAAATAGAGTAAATATGTTTCTCAATAACCACTTTACAATAGAAGAGTTGCATACTTCACTGAAAAACAGAAAAGACACTACACCAGGTATAGACAATATTCCTTATTTTTTAATTAAAAAATTACATTTGAATGCACAACTAACATTGCTCAACATTTATAACAAACTTTGGGACTATCTAGCTATACCTGAATCCTGGAAAACCCAGTGTGTCATTCCAATACTAAAACCTAACAAACAAGAAAATATAGCATCCTCATACAGGCCTATCTCTTTATCATCTTGTCTGGGTAAAATATTTGAGAACATGTTAAAGTCACGTTTAGATTACTTTGCTGAATCAAATCACTTAATTCCACCTATACAGTCTGGCTTCAGAAAAGGCAAAAGTTGTTCTGAAAGCTTTGTATCTTTAATATCTGATATTAAAAAAGTGCAACTGAGTCATTCTAATATGATATGTGTCTTTCTAGATGTTAAGGGTGCCTTTGATAATATAAATATAGAAAAATTAATTGAAGTACTTCATGAAATAGGCTTAACAGCACAGAATTTGAAATGGCTTTATAAATTTCTTAATAATCGGACAGTATTTGTTAGATATAATAATAAAATGCATGGCCCTAAAATTATAAATAAAGGTACTATGCAGGACGCAACATTATCTCCTTTGCTATACAATTTATATACTTCCCAAATATTAAAATATATTGACACAACTTTGATTAAAATATTGCAATTTGCTGATGATATTCTTTTGTACAGCATAAATCAAAACATAGAAGTGGCACAAAGTAATATAAACAGTGCTTTAAATCAATTATATACCTACTATAAAAATAAACTTAAATTAGACATAAGTCCACAAAAGAGTTCTGTAATAATTTTTAGTAAAAATCCATGTGCTCAAACAAATACAAAAATAGTTTACAACAATATCCATATTCCTATTGTAAAGTGCCATAAATTTTTAGGAGTTATTATTGACAATAAGTTAAAATTTGAGGAACACATTAAGCACATTAGTAAAAATGCTTTAGGAGGTATTAATATTCTACGACATTTGGCAGGCACATTCTGGGGATCTGACCCCAAAATAATGAGTATGCTGTACAAAAGTATAGTAAGAAGCCATTTTGATTACAGCAGTGTAGCATACATGAATGCCAGTAGCACTCTTTTAAAAAAATTGGATGTTATTCAGAATATGGGATTGAGATTAATTAGTGGAGCAATGAGGTCTACACCAATTAATTCATTAGAGATTGAAACATGTATACCTCCTTTAACCTTACGCAGGCTGCAGTTAGCTGAGAGATTCAATTTAAAAGTTCTAGCTTCAAATAATAGTAACTTGATTAAGCAACTCACCCCACCATCCGAAATATCCCACACCATTCCATCTACTGTTATCTCAGCTTCTGCACTTGTCCATGGTCCATTTCCTGAAATGACAACAATTTTTACATATGTTAGGAATAATTGTAGAAACATCAAAAAATTTGATATATGGCCTATTTATAAATATCCCTATCAAGGTAAAATTAAATGTTCAAAAAGATTTCATCTTGATGATGTACATTGTGCAATAGAGTTTTTAGAGTTTAAAAATACTAAAAATAATTATTATGACATTTATACAGATGGCTCTAAGGCAAATGAAAGTGTCAAAGCAGCTTATTTTGATCCACAAACAAATTATAAGAAATGTATCAAATTAAATAATTCAAGTAGCATTTTTACTGCAGAAAGCTATGCTATATACTGTGGATTACATTATATAAATAATCTTGTAAATAGTGTAAACAATATTTTGATAATATCTGACTCAAAGAGTGTTTTAATTGCCCTTTCAAATGTAAATAATAATAAGTCGTTTAAATTAAACTATATTTTGTATGAAATTTTAAATATAATAATAGAATTAGATAGTAAGAATGTTAATGTAGAATTTTTGTGGGTGCCCTCACACAGTGGCATAAGGGGAAATGAAATGGTTGATATGATTACGCGCTCAGACCATGATGAAGATCATTCAGAGACATTATACCTACCTTTTACTGATTATTATAATTTCTTCCAAACCATGGCAATGGACCTATGGAAGCAATATTGGAACATTACGCTTGAAACGAAGGGGAAATGGTATAAAGAAGTGCAAAAGGAATTTCCTACCAAACCATGGTACCATACCTTTGCATACAGCGACAGGAAATTCATAACTACTATATCAAGGATGCGATTGGGACATTGTCTAACACCAGCACACTTGCATAGACTGAACATAATCCACAATAGCAGATGTTCTCACTGTAATCAAGATAAAGCCGATTTAGATCATCTAATACTTAGATGTCCTTCATTTAATTTACAACGGTTAGTGCTCGCGGATGACGTTACCGAAGTTATCAATGACAGTACTAGTGAAATAAGTGTTCCCCGCCGCATAATAGACTTTTTAGCAAATCCAGATTATTTTTTTCCATTGTTTAAATACATTTGTAATACTATAGAAAATATATAAATATGTAGGCATATAGCTATTCTACAAATGTTAAATTTATAAAATGTATTCGGCTGAAGGACTTGTATCCATGGCTATGAATAAATAATTATTAAAAAAAAAAAAATTTCATTGCCATACTATTAAATCTTAGTTGCTAGTTAAAAATATGGTATTATGAAAGATTATTTGGGTCTTTCATCATAAAATTTTGCCCCTCTAGGTATAATTTTACACTTGTATGAAGTTACCACCCCCTGTATATACGTATTATAGTGATCTGTGTATATGTATAAAGAGAAATAAATACATAGCGAAATGTATATAGTTTATTAATTTAGTGGTTTAGTTTTAGTAATTTTTTAGGTTTGTTCGTTATTGAGTTTATGGGGCCCTAGCTCCACCGTGTCTCCACCTTCATTCGGTAACTACTCTTGTTCCATGGAATGGGCCATATTTCATAGTCATTATTTGTTTTTTTTTTGTGTAAAACATTAAAACTAATGACATGATTATGTTCTCATAATAACTGGACGGTGTACTTCAGTGAAAGTGACCGAATGCTAGGCCTTGAAAATATGCAGACCGAAGAAGACAATACTCCAGTCTTGAATAAGAAAAAAAACGACAACAAAGGTCAACATTCGAACGACAACGTTTCTACTTCTGGTGACAAAACTGATTCCAAAAAGAGTGAAAAATCTGACGGAGAAGATCCAAAACCTCGTATCGTTTTGACTTTTCGTTCTGAAAAATCTGGTGCCAAATCAAGCAACATGAAAATAGTGCCAAATGACGAAAAACACGATGAGATTTCACCTCGCCGATCAAGTAGAACGCGTGGCAAATGGGAATGGTCTGATGAGGCAGACTCCTCTGCGTCCCCCAAGAAGGACAAAGACATAAGTCAACCGGTTTCTGAGAATGACGACGGTTCCGACAGTAGCCCTGCTCCATCAAAGCGACCCACTAGACGAGGTGCATATGCGCCGCTTTACAATATGTATGCGATGTCCAGGAAAGAAAAATCTGAAACAACAGGAACTACTCAAAGATTATCCCGAAGAATTAAGCCTACTGCCAAAATACTGGCGAATGAAGAGTTAAGAATTGGACTAGAGTCTCAAAACAATGCTCGTTTGGGTATACAGACTGAAAAATCTGAAGAAGGAGTTAAAACAAGAAGATCAGCTCGTCCTGCAGTGTCTGATGTGGAGGCTACATCCACTGTTGTTACCAAGAAGGATCCGAAGATTACTAAAGTAATAGATGTTGAGGAAATTGTTGACGAAGACTCAAATTCAGATGGTAAACAGGATCCAAACAGAGTTAAGAAATTGAAACACTTGTGTGAGCTTGGCCTCAAAGCGATTGATTCAGATTCTGTTGATGATGAAGTGGATACTGAAGAAATGTGAGTACATTTTAGAAAGATTTTTGAAATAGCTATTATTTATTTAATTACTTTTGAAAGGTCTAAAGATATCATATTTCAACCACAACACCTATGTGTTATGTCCCTACCCTATTTTAAAGTAATTAAAAAATTTTGGCTTACTCTTTACAGCAATTAACAACATTACTAGCTCTTTTCCTGTGTCTTTGCACACTTAATTTATAGCCTATGTCAACCCTGTAATACGGGGTACATCATAATGATGTTGCTACCTTAAGGTGAATTTTCTTTAAATCTGTACAGTAGTTTCGGAGTCTATTTGATTCAAGCAAACAAACAATTTAAATGGTTCCTCTTTATAATATTAGAATAGATCAACATCAAGAATCTTGAATATTTAAACACAGATGAGGGGGGTTCCAAGCTTCAGACTTCAGAAAACCAGAGGGTCATTTTTGGGTAAATGTATTGCTATGTTCAATAAAGTTCCACAAAATGTAATTAACCTACCCATAAATAAATTTAAAATTCAAGTAAAGAACATACTTATGAGTCAAGACTATTATAAAGTTGATGATTATTTTAAGGACCGCAATGCATGGAATTAATAGCCTTTGCTTTGTTCTATAACAACTAATTATATGTACAAACTATGACCTACATACTTTGAAAGTTGTATTTATTATTGTGATAATACATTTTATTTTGGTAATGACATGATTTTGTAAATGTCATTACTTATGATAAAGAACTGGTAAGTTTCTTCCGCTTTGTTCTTCTTGTCAGCTAAAAGACGTCCTGAACATGTGGCAGGGGTTTTTTTTTTTGATGATTTAATGTGCTTGTAACAAGCTTACTTGAATAAAGATATTTTCATTTAATTTCCTACTTAATAAGAATACGTTATCATTATACAATATATTTATGATTTTTGATACAATATCAAAATGGGATCAAAATTAACTTTTGTTATAGGGATTTAGATGAGGAAGTTGATGAAGAAGAAGATGATGAAGTTGAATTAGAAGAAGAAGATGAAATGGATGATGATTCAGAGGAAGTCATCAGCAAATTACTCGAAGCTGATGAAGACAGCAGTGAAGATTTTATGTGTACACTGGGATCTTCACAGAGCAAGCATCCTCGCCGTTCCACTAGACTATGTTCATCATATGGAGGGCAAGATGTTGAAAGGCAGTCACCTCTTCCCGAAGATGATGAGCAGAAGTAAGTATATTCCACTCAACACTAGTTTAGATGCCAATAGCTGTAATATGATGCTGTAAATTAGTATTTGGCAATTACAAAGTGTGATCAGGTCCTCAATAGCTTTTTAAGGAGCTTAGCTATTGCGAATTTAGAGGATAGGACAGTGGTTCAGATTTTTTTAATTTGGATACAGGGAACCTCAAAGGAGGTCGTCAAGAAGATCAACCCGATATAGCACTTATGAGAGTGACCGGTAAGGGTCTTTTTAGCATGAGACAAATGTTGCAGTTGTGGTGATGACTGATGCGTTAATTTGATGTTTTAGAGAATACTGTCCCCCGTCTAAAAGAAACCGATCCCGGAGGCGTGCTGATCAACCAGAGGTGGATCAAGAAGATGAGGGGAGGTTTGTTTAAGCTTACTATATTATATTTAGGTGAAAGTTATTTAATTACATTATATTAGGTAGCTTACCATCATATAAGAAACTAGTGGCCGCCAGCGACTTCGTCCGCGTTTTCCATTATTTCTTCGCTCCTAATAGTTGCAGCGTGATGTTATGTAGCCTAAAGCCTTCCTCGATAAATGGTCTATTCAACACAAAAAAAAAAAAAACAATTCGAACCAGTAGTTCCTGAGATTAGCGCGTTCAAACAAACAAACACACTCTTCGCTTTTATAATATAATAGATAATTTTGTTTGTTTTCCTTTATCAGCCGTACGCACCGTCTTAAAAATCGTTCTTCTAAAGCTGAAGAGATCCACTCTGATGCAGAACCAGAAGATAATAACAGGCAAGAATAATTTACTATTTCATCCTTCGCAATTATTAACCCTTAATAATTTTTACTATATCTACATCTGTACTTCTATACCAAATATTAAGAGGTAAATTTTGATTTTTTTGTTATTTTATATTGAATATAAGTAAAAATTACTGAACTAATCTTTTAAATATTTTGAAAGCACTAACATTATTAAGGCATGCAGCGCCGTTGGACAGTGTGGGTTTTGAAGGTGGTACGAAGTTTGCTTTAGCAGCATTTCATTATGTACTACTGAAAAAACATTTACATCATCTTAAAACAATTAATTAGGTTTCTTGGCTTAGAATAAACAAATATTTTTGACATGCTATTCTATTAGTGAACCAGCTGGTGGGGATGAAGGGGCGGAAGCGGCTTGTCCTGATGATGAATCTGCTATAGTAGCGACCTGCTACTGTGAGACGCCTAGCAATGTGTATGCAGCACCTAGTGAGCTCACAGGTATGCTACATTTAAGTGCCTTAGAATATAAATAGAGCACCTGGGGCTGGTGGATGTTTTTAAGCATTTTTCATCAAAAATATTTTCCAGTATAGTATTGTGAATGAAAATTGATCAAATAAAATGATATCTATATTATAAATTAATACGATACCTATTATATAGATAGGCATTAGGTCCCTCATTTGTACTGTATGCAAAAAGTTTGAAGAAATAAATAAAAAAAATTTTAAGAAATTATTTCAGTCCCAGCCGTGGCAAGATTTTCAATGTCAGCATAAAATATTCATATATTCCATAAGGAAGATGGGCCATGACCCTCCATGCTGACCCAATGCGGATTGGAGGGTATTAACAACTGCTAATGCAGCCGGGACCAACGGTTTAGGACGCCTCCCGAAACGAAGTAGCTCGAGATAATAATTTTTCACCCATCCCGTGACCGACCCTCGCGGAAGTTACTTAACAACAACAATCGCGCGGCCCGCGATTGTTGTTGTTAAGTAACTTCCGGGCTTATTCACTACTACTCAAGTACGTGTCGAGAACGGAGTATTTTTCGCCTCCGCGCCCGCGGTCGTCCAGCACGAGGCTTTATTGTCGCGTCGGTACGCAGAGCCGGTGTTCTGCCAAGCGGTGGAGTCCGTGGAGGGCGCGCGGGTGGGGTGCTCGCACGGGGCGGGGCGCGCGCGCGGCGGGGCGCTGGCGGCCATGCTGCGGGCGGGGCCCCGCGCGCCCTTCCTGCTCACGTGCCGCCTGCACGCCGCGCAGCTGCGTCGCCACATGGCGTGCCCCGTCTGCGGACTGTTCTGCACACAGGTACGCACACTCGACGTTACCGATAACACCCTGCCATTCTTATCTTCATTTTAATACCTACATTTTTTGTCCTTGAATTTTTTACTATTTGGCCCAGTTCATGTTTATATGGAGAAGAGCAGCATGCAGCATTTTTATATGCGAGTCGGCCTCGCGCACGAAGGTTCTGTACCGGATACGAGAGAAAAAATCACTGTTGTGCGGGAGACCCCCTTAAATATTTGTTTAATTTTAATTTAATTATTTGTTTTTAAAGTTACTATATAATTACATATTTTGTAAATATTTAAATCGTCTACCTATTGTCGTTATCAATATCGAGCAAAAGCAAGCAAAAAAAATCACGTTTGTTGTATAGGAGCCACCTTAAATATTTAGTTTATTATCGTTTTCCCATTTGTTATTGAAGTGGCAACAGAAATGCATGAATCGTTGAGGAAATTTAAAATTGTCTAACTTTCACAGTTCATGAGATACAGCCTGGTGACAAACAGACAGATAGCGAATCTTAGTTTCTTAAGTTCTAGTTTTACCCTTTGGGTACGGCACCCTAAAAAGAATAACATTACTATGACTTTGACACTTTTGTTTACTTATTTTCCATTAAAGATACGCTTACGGATTACGTGATCGTAATCCGTAAGCGTTACATGACATCGTTACATGACTTCCACAAATATTGCAGTTTATTTAGGCTAGGCAATAATTCAAAATTATTGTACTCAGCATGATTTACGAATTATTTTTAAGATAGCAATATAGATTAATTTACGCTATTATTAAAAATGTCACAACTTTATGAATTAAAAATCTCGAATTTCGATCGGAAGGATAAGCCTAATTAATAATAGGTTATTACGTACCTAAAACTAAAACATAAATATTTAACTGATTAAATAGTTCACTCTAAAGAAGTGACGTTATTTATGTTTGCATAAACATAAATAACTTAAGAAAGGAATTTAAGTGAAAAAATGTATTTCAAAATCTAACCTTACAAATAAATAAAAAAAAATAACCCTTGTAACCTGTTAAATAATCGCGTAAATAATTATTTTACACTTTCAATGTTTCCCGCGCTTTTCTTATATAGTTTTACCTATTACCAATATACCCACTAATGTTTACTACATTATTACTAAAAATAAGTATTCTGATAAAAAATTTCTTTTACCCTCATTAATTTTTATTTCACTACCTTCCTTCTTACTTTAAATACATATTAATTTTATTCATAACAGTCATTGTTGCAATGTTTCACTTCAAATCTTTTATTTATCATAGTTGTAAAGTTTTATCGTTCCGTTGTTTGTTTATAATAAGACTTAGCTCCATTAGTGGTAGTGTATAACAGGTATTTGAATTTTTTATGCTCTGAAGTCTCGCAATCGTTAATGTCAGTAGAAACACACTATAAGTTCCTACGATTTTTGCTGTTCCATTAATAAATTCGTTTAGGCTTAGACTAGAAATGATGTGGAAAACTGTGTTTATGTTAAGCTTGCACTAATCAGTAAGGATATTTCGTATCCGAAAGTTTGACTCTGTTTTAAGGTTTACTTTCTGTCAATATCATTGTATTTGTATACGTTTGCACAACAAATGTGTTGACAAGTCAATAATAAACACCCTCGACTTACAAAGATCTTATTACAGAATTATTTATTTTTATAAATTTAATTATCACTCTAGGAAAACAAAGAAATTATTGAAAATAGTTGTGTTCAATGAAAAGTTAATTATTGAAGTATTTTATTTATTTAGATACAACTTATTTTGTTATTTTATTTCATATTGGATTTACCAAAATGCAGTTAACATTAAATAAGGTATTGTTAGACACAGTGTGTACAATCAATACACTGGGATAAATTAAATGCTTATTAAAACATTATTGCTATAACTTTAAGTGCATATTTCGACAAATCACGCGGTAGACTCTCAGGTTACTTCATAAAAGGTATACGTTTTGTAGCACCAGCTAGCGTGTTGTAGACTGTATAAACTGTAAACTCAACAGTTGAATGTGATTCGTTTAGGGTATATTCTACCAGTGTTCCGTTGGACACCTGTTCCACCTGGAGTGTGGGCTGCCGTCCAGCGAGACGAAGGCCGGCGTCGGTTGTCCCCACTGCGGCGTGCGCTCGTACCGCTGGCAGCCCGTCAACACTGACTGCTGCAAGGTCAAGGTGCAGATGCACTCCAGCAACAAGCGGGTCTACCTGCCCGATCAGCGGGAACAATGGTCAGTGTGTTGAACTTTTTTTTATTCAAATGTGTATCCCATTATTATAATCGATTCGCTATAAGCTTGTTCTATTGCTATACAAAAAAGTTTGTTGGAGCTAATTTGTTTAAAGTTGAAATTTTCATCCAATAATTAGGCAATGATGGTCTTTCAAATATTTATTTCTTACTACTTACTTTTTTTAGCACCCAAGCGTACCTTAGTTTCACAAAAACTGAGCCCCCGCCAGCGGATTTCACATTTGGAATTCCTGTTGATCTTCTCCCACCGACACCAATCGATCTCAAGAGTTTGTGTATGAAGAAAGACGATGATTATGATCAAGAGGCCATTATTGAAGCTGCACAGCAGCTCTGCGATGCAATACTGACCATGGAGCCTGTGGAAAAGATCATCCCAAAAATTAGTGAGTATATCCTAAATGAACATAATTTTAAGTGTATATGTACGAGAACCATATATACGTTTGCAGAATGACTTATCATATTTCGTCAATCTGACGATAGTGGTTTTAAAGGTAGATAAGTGAAAATTGCCAATAATAACTCGCGAAGCCCTACCCTGCACACCGACGCGACACTAAAGCCTCATGCTGGACGATCGCGAGCGCGGTGGCGGTGACAGAAATTACCCGTTCTCGACACGTACTTGAGCGGGTCGGTGGCGTAGTGAATATATGAGTAGCCCCGCGGCCCGCGATTGTTGTTGTTAAGTAACTTCCGCGGGGATGGGTGAACCCCTATCCTAGTGTGAAATAGTGGTCGAGGGGGCGCTTCGCTCGCACCCAACTATGATATCTACTTTTTATGTGTACACACAAAATTCAACAACGAAAACCGAGAGCTCTATTTTCGTTTATATTCTTCTCAAAAGTCATTAAACATTTATTGGATACATGAAACTTATTTTCAATTGTCCTTTCGGTACTGCCAAGTTAATGCGAAATTTTGATATTTTATTTGTTTCACGCGGAAAAAAGAAATCATTTAAAAACTTACGTTATATTTTGTTTTGTTATTTAAGTTTCATCGTTGACATCTATAACTCGCTTCGTCGTCGTCCGTGTGGCGACAAGCAATCGATATTCTTAAAAACGAACGATGACGAGAATCGAACGATTCAATAATAGAATATAAATGCAATGTAATAAATATGCGAACTTCACCAGCAATGTACATTTTCTTGAAAATATTTTTGTGATTAACACATTTGATAACATTACACGAATTTCGACTAAAAATAGTTAATTTGACATGTGTTCTATATAATTACTAATGAAAAGGAATCCCTTCTTTGGACCTACTTGTGAAGTCATGATCCTGTACATTTATCCAGGATCGTAACTACGCTGCCACGTTCACAAGGCCCTTCTAACGTCTTTCTGTGTTCTATGGGTAATAGTATATTAAAAACTACCAAAAAAAAAACATTATCGTTTACTGTCTTAACCCGTATTAGTCCGACGATCGGTATGTATAGTGCATTGTGTCGCAGCGTGCGTGGGCGTGGCGAACGAGCCGCTGAGCGCGCACGCGGGGGGCGGCGGCGCGCACGTGGCGGCGCGGCGCGGGCACGTGCACGCGCTGCACGCGCTGCGCTGCGCCGCCGCGGACCTCGACGCGCAGGACAATGGGCTCCGGACGCCGCTCATGGTCGCCGTGCAGGGTACACGACTATAATGTGCATATTTAGAGTAGTTGCATCCCGAGTGAGAACTTCTCGAACTTGAACCAGTTTTCGTTTCTGATTTAACTTTTTTTTTAATGATCTCTTATTAACAGTTTGATAAAACAAGGAGTTTTTGTCTTGTGAAACGTAATAAACTTTATTTATTGAGAATGATCAGTTGAGATTTATACTTTTCTCAATTCAAAAACCCTAACAGCGGGTTTCTTCTTACTGTATCCTCTGCTACGTAGGCAGAGAAGACCGAACGTCAACACATAAATTTTTTCGCCCCATATACCTTCATATAATAATACTTTATTTACCTAGACTTAGGTCAAAACGAGTAAGTACTCTGTTACGTCAATCATAAGCGAAAGCAAATTAACGTCACCGACAAATCGCCCTTATCAATTCCATTGGGATCTTTTTATGCATCAATTTATTTAACATTTATTAAGATTGCGCTTATAGACTAATATTCGTTAGACTAAAGTATATATTTTTTTCAGCATTATTAGATAAACCAGAGAACAAAACTGACAGTAAAACTGTTAAAACTTTTGATAAAGAAGTTAAAGGAGAATCCGAGTCTAAAGAAGATGCTGAAACCAAAGAAGAGGTGAAAGATAAAGAGGACGTGGTGGACAACGAAAAGGATAACGCTAGTGAGAAAAAAGAAGACGAACCTGAAAAGGGTAGCGATGAAGATCTCATGAAAATTATACGCTATTTGATTGCGGCTGACTGTGATGTTAATATACAGGTAATGGATATTTTAATTTTGAATGCCTGAAAAACTGTTCATACTGAACAGTAGTTTTTAGGGAAGTTCAGTACTGAATGATCCCAAAATATTGTTAAAATAATTTAATAATTTTGCTTCCTTATTTATTGCATGAATTTTTGGAAAAGAATTCATATGTAAATATTGTGGTATATGGAAAAATGTACTTTGTAATAATGCGATAACAAACGAAAAGGGCATTTTTTTAAAACATAACCAAAAGTAATTATGAAATGAGAGTTTTCAGTATGGCATTGTCAATACAAAATTAATCAAAATATAATAAATGAGAGTTTATTTGAAATTATGTTTACTAATTGTGAAAAAAAACATAAGATGTAACAACAAAACTTAACAATAAATTATTTGTTAACGGTACTGATTTTAGATCACAATCACGTCATCAAAATGGCGGCATTAGCAATTTGCAAAGCTTGTACAATATGAGTCAAATACACGTGAAAAAATATAAATTTAAGGCTAGAAATGTTAAGGTACCGTGAGGTCTTCGAAATGGCCCTTGTTGTATATAATATTCACATTGCTTTGATACAGTTTTATATTTCGGAAACTTCTGTTCACTTTTTTTCCAAATACAAGACAGAAGTGCCCCATACCGAAGCATAGCATTTTTAGTCCGTTCCCGAGGGAAATTTCTCCTATTATTAATTAATAACGGTGTTAAGAAGCGACTCACCTCTTTTCTCCTTAGCCGGGCCAGCACGTTCCCTCGGGACAACGGTCAAGGCGCGTTAGTGACCACACGAAATTACACTAGGTTCAAATCTTCCTCCTTGTGGTTTTCACACCGAAACCGCTTATAGTAAAGCGGGAAACATTCTTTTCGAATTTTATGAAATCTCACGCACGTAATGAACGAAATTTATTGTTAAGAAAAATCCCGCACATAACACGTTGACAAGCGCAATGTCTTGAACTTCGTTTGTTTGAAAAAAGGCGGTTATGCTTGTGGTGCCTGCCTGGTATTGAGCGGCGGCTTAGGAACCAATTAAGAATGAGTGGCCAGATATAATGAAGTAATCAATCCTAAACAATTTAGAAACGGAATTGTGCTTATCGCACCATAGAAATAAAATGAAATATATATTATATGCGAAAACTGCTTCACTACGGAACAAACGGTTTGATACGAGGGTCAAACTGAAAGTTCTTAGAACTGGCCACTTATAAACAATATAATAAAAAAATAATTCTAAAATTTGAAAATATAACTCTTTGCCAATATTACTGAGTATATATTTCATTCATTTGTCATTTGTTTTACGATTTGGCGGCAAATTGAAAATTGTCTGTGTCACGTCATCATGAATTTAACACGAGAAAATTTTCGTGCAATGATTTTTTATGACTTTCGATGTCATTTAAGTCAACAAGAAAGTTATGATAGACTACGATTGGCCTTTCACGATGAAGCCCCATCTCGTGCGACTGTTTACAACTGGTTTAATGAGTTTAAACGTGGTCGCACTAATCTCACTGATGATTTACGTGAGGGACGGCCTTCTACGGCGACGACTGAAGATAACATCTGTGTTGTGCGGCGTATGATAGAGACTGACAAAAGAGTGACCTATCAACAGATTCGGACAAGCTTAGGCATCGGTATGAGTCAAGTGCACAAAATCCTCCACGAACATTTAGCGGTCAGGAAGCTTTGCGCCCGGTGGATACCTCATAATTTGACTGAGGCTCAAAAACTCCATCGTGTGGATTGGTGTCGTAAAATGATTGAAAGATTTAACGGAGGTGACTCAAATGCTGTGTTCGACATACTAACAGGTGACGAAAGCTGGATTTACTGTTATGATCCTAAAACCAAAAGACAATCTGCTCAGTGGGTGTTTCCTTTCGAGGAGTTGCCAATTAAAGTGAAGAGAGATCGAAGTGCGGGAAAAAAAATGGTGGCCTCGTTCTTTGGAAGGATAGGTCATTTTGCAACAATTGTGTTAGAGGATCAAAAAACAGTTTCTGCAGAATGGTACACTACCAATTGTTTGCCACTTGTCTTGGAAAAAGTTCGAGAGAAACGACCTCGCAGTAGGATCCTCCTTCACCACGACAACGCCTCGTCGCACACCGCCAAGCGAACGATCGACTATTTGGCGACATCAAACGTTGAATTACTGGGTCACCCGCCGTATAGCCCCGACCTCGCGCCTTGTGATTTTTATTTATTTCCAAAAATTAAAGAAAAACTTAAAGGAAAGCGGTTTATGAATGCTGAAGAAGCGGTGGCTGCGTATCGCGATGCCATTGAAGAGACCCCTAAGGACGAGTGGGCAAAGTGCTTTTCCCAGTGGTTCCATCGCATGCAGCGGTGTATTGACGTGAATGGACAATATTTTGAAAAGATATAATAAAACTAATAACTGGCTAATGTAATCAGTTTTTGATTTTCTAAGAACTTTCAGTTTGACCCTCGTATAAACCGACAGTCGCAGATACGCTAGATAGGATTTGAATAATCATAAACTCGTAATCTGGGTGAATGCTATTTGAGTTACGCTGTCGTAAACGAGACTGTCGAATTCACTACTAGTGAGGATCTTTATATTTTAAACCTTTCTTGGTCTTAAAATGTACCCGTTTTTAAAGATTTAATGAGACTTTATAAATGAAAAAAGGTAGTCGTTTTTAAATGTATCGATATTTTGTCAAGGGTCCTGAAGGTATGACAGTGCTTCATATGGCGGCGATGCGCGGCGATACAGACGTGTGCGACTTGTTACTGAACGAGGGCAGAGCCAACGTGGACCCGCGCGACCACGGCGGCTGGACTCCGCTCGTGTGGGCCGCTGAACACAAACACGTCAGGACTGTCAGGTACGTGTGTTGTGTACGCTAGGGCTGCCAACATTTGCTTGAAGAAATATAGTATATCTGATTACATCAGAGGTATGTTTTGGTACTGTTTTAGATAAGATAATAGGTATGTGTGACTGGCACTAGTATAATAAGTATTGTGTAAAAAACAAGTATTTTAAAGAAATATTAGTAGGCAGAAGCGCAGTTGAAAATGAATGAAACAACCTTGAAATATAGACTTTAATGAGTTACATTAAGAATTGAAGTCACGTGTAGGCGTAACGCGTACACATTAACCAATAGTAAACGAATACGAGTCGTGCGCCAAACAATTTTTTTTTTCGCCTTTTAAAATTGACCTACTGCATCGTTTATTAGTGTATGAGTTGCATACCGTGTAACTTATAAACTTGCTTCTACTGTAGATTATTGCTGTCGAAAGGCGCAAATGCGTTGGCGAAAGACTTGGAAGGTAACGGCGCCATACACTGGTGCGCGCTCGCGGGCGATTCTAACGTGCTCAAGCTGCTGCTGGACGCCGCGCCCCTCGCGCTGCACCAGACCAACGCGCACCAAGACACGCCGCTGTGAGTGTCACACTAATGTGTGCCAACACTAACATGTACCAACACTAGCATGTACCAACACTAGCATGTACCAACACTAGCATGTACCACCAACACTAGCATCTACCAACACAAGCATGTACCAACACTAGCATGTACCAATACTAGCATGTACCACCAACACTAGCATCTACCAACACAAGCATGTACCAACACTAGCATGTACCAACACTAGCATGTACCAACACTAGCATGTACCACCAACACTAGCATGTACCAACACAAGCATGTACCAACACTAGCATGTACCACCAACACTAGCATCTACCAACACTAGCATGTACCAACACTAGCATGTACCACCAACACTAGCATCTACCAACACTAGCATGTACCAACACTAGCATGTACCACCAACACTAGCATCTACCAACACTAGCATGTACCAACACTAGCATGTACCATCAACACTAGCATCTACCAACACTAACATGTACCAACACTAGCATCTACCAACACTAGCATGTACCAACACTAGCATGTACCAACACTAAGTTGTGAGTGTGACACTAGCGTGTATCAGAAATGTAGTATGTTGGGCGCTGCATTTAGATTCTGAAAAGCGCTGAATCGCCGATTACGGAGATATATGGATAGTTAAATGATTTATTTACATCATCGGTGCTTTAAGTATTATATCTGCTATGGTCTACCGAAAATTTTAGACCATAATAAATAAAATAATAAACACAGTGTATTTTTTTCTCAGGCACGTTGCAGCACGCCAAGGACATTACGCATGTGTCCTTTTGTTAATAGCTCGGGGTGCAAAGGTAAGTTTTGACGTAGATGTGTTATGATACTAACGTTAGGATTATTTATTAACAAACAAACTACTAAACTCACTCCAAAAGTTCATAATTCCTGCTTTAAAATCAGGTTAATATCTTAGGAAAATTCATTAATGTAAATCTATTCACGTGTTTATTTTTTCGTCAACTGGAACTAATTATAAGACTGATATATCCTCCGAGGATAAATACTGATTACTTAAAACACGTTTAATGTATATTACTATTTTACGTACTTCATACTGCGCGGTTGGTTACAAGGTGTTACAGCCGTTGACTTCCGTATTGGGCGGGAACTGAGTGTTGTATGATGGGTATACCTTTACTAACTCGACATACTGAAGTATCAAACATTACAAAATTCTTGAACATTTCTTTCGCAAGCTCCCAGTTTATAAAGACAATATGCAAGTTGACAACTTTTTTATTTTATAAATAAATATATGAGAAATAATCTAGAAGTAACAGCATGACAGCGATTAATAGTTTCGGAGATACGGTGCTGTTTGTGGAACTGCTGCTAGTCGCCTGAAAAGGCTCCCTACAAATTTCAGGCACTAAGTGACGTCATACAGTGCTACGGTAACAAAAAACGTATGGGTATCTGGGCAAACTTTGTAATATCTTTGTTATTTTTCGTTTATGTTTATAGCTGTTATAACGAAAGTTGTAACGTTTTATGTAAATTATTTTATGTCATATGTTTTTTAGCTAATTTATGTAGTATATTTTCCTAACTTTTTTACAAGTTATTAAAGCGTATTATTTCCTAAATAAGTGTTATAGAATTTAATTTGTTAAATATCTATAACTTAAAATGGTTCATATTTCCAAACAGAAAATATACAAAAGAACCGTAGGAGACTAGCTTATTCTCAGTGAGAGGTTCCTCTAATCGATATGTTCGGTGTTAACAGACTGACATACAAAACTCTGCTGGTGAGCTGCCCGCGGACGTGTGCAGTGACGAGTGCCATAACGCGATCGCGCTCAACATGCACCTGTCACAGATCCCCGGACGGGTCACCACTACGCTGCTCTCTAGGTAATTATTGTTGTCAACTACGGCGCTACGGCCCGCGATCGTTGTTGTTAAGCAACTTTCGCAAGGGTCGGTCACGGGATGGGTGACCAAAAAAAATATATTATCTCGAGCTACTCCGTGATTCGGAAGGCACGTTAAGCCATTGGTACCGGATGTATTTGCAGTCGTTAATACCCTCAAATTCGCATTGGGCCAGCGTGGCCTATCCTCCTTAACCATCTATAAGGAAGGCCTGAGCCCCTGCAGTGGGGACGTAAATGGGCTGGTGATGATGATGATGATGCGTAATGTATATAAATTTTATGATCAATAAATTTGTATGACACGGCATATTAATAAGATAACAAAAGGATTATATGTTTTTAATCTTTTTTAATATTGTAATAGAAAGTGACTATGAAGTAAATCAGTAAGAAAAAGCAGCCGTTCCTAATTTTGGTGTATGTAGATTAGCAAGCCGATGGCATAACTCACGAATTTGTCGCTGTACACTTTGTATAAAAGATTCGTGATAACGAATGTGTGCGTGATTATTTGTAGGTAGTAGATTATTTACAATTGTTTCAGGGACATATCGAAAGGTCTAGAGGAGTGGCCCGTGCGGTGTGTGAACGAAGTGGACGACGAGCCGCTGCCCTCGGACTTCACGTACGTCACCAGGCACGTGATGCCCGAGCCCATCAACATAGACAACACCATCGCCACCATGAAGGTAACCACGGACGGAGACTTGATCAGACTCGTTTACATGTGGGAATGTTTTCCTGATGCGTTTTCTATTATCGATCTCGCTGTTACCGACGCCTCAATGTTTGCTTTTGACTTCTTTTATTAAAAATTCAATTTTCTTAAGAGTTGATTACTCTTTGGAAGTATATATTTTCTCGATGAACAGTTCGAAGGTGCCCGATAAATATAGTTTTCAATGCAGTTGCTCATAAAGCGCTATTTTTTTAATCCATTGTAAACACCGAAAGTGAGTCTTTAAACACGTGTTAAATGAAAATGTACTGAAATCCTTTACTGCACACGTGCTTAAAAGTATTTTTTTTTTGGCCGAGTACCAAAGAAATTTAAAAATTTGATGAAAATAAGTCAAACTTTAGAGGAAAAAGTATTGCAAGGAGCCTAGAACGAATATTTTCAAATAAAAATGTATGACACGAAAACATGTTCAAATATCACGTTTAATTTTAACAAATAATTTTTACCTTTAATAGATACTTAGTTTTATAAACCTATATATTTGTTTTATTTCCTCACAAAAAGCATTGAAAAATTTTGTAAGAAACTTGAGCGTAAAAGGTTTTTCGAATTCGTGCCAATGAAAACCCTCGCTCTGCCTCTTATTCGTAAAACCTTACTTTCCGCACTCGTATCTTAAATAAATATTTTAGAAATCATTATTGTAGAGAACTGTTTCGTTGTGTTATAAAGTAATCTATATAGTGGATACTGTTATTGTAGGGCTGCGAGTGCGTGGATATTTGTGATGCGAGTTGCGCGTGCCACGTGCTGAGCGTGCGCCGCTGGTGGTCGCGGGGCCGGCTGCTGGCCTCGTTCCCGCACCAGGACCCGCCCATGCTGTTCGAGTGCAACCAGACGTGCGCCTGCGACAAGGTCTGTACACTGTCGTACACGGGGCCGGCTGCTGTCCTAGTTTTACTGTTGCGTTAGATGGCAGCAGCGGCCAGTTACGGCTTGTGTTACTTTGCATTATTAACAATATTGTATCGAATGACGTCACGAAAATTGCTGAATGCATCTGGTGTCGCAAGTTGATCGCGTGGTTCGCCGCTTGTTTGATGTATTGACATGACCAAAAGATCTTTCTAAGCTTCGATAACGAGATATATAGAGTAAATCAATAAAAAATCCACTATATCCGTGGCATTTAACCCATGACCTTTCGCAATCCGGGTGACTGCTCTAACCACCAGGAACTAATTCAGAGTGCCAGTATATATTTCTGTAACCACTCGTAGGTCCGATAAAAAAATAACAAGTTTCAGTGTCAACGTTGTTATTTGCTCGTGCGCAGAGCGAGTGCGGCAACATGGTGGTGGGCGCGATGTTGCGCGGCGGGTCGCTGGGAGCGCGCGTGTGCGTGTTCCGCACGCGGGGGCGCGGGTGGGGGCTGCGCGCGGGGGCGGCCGTGCCGCGCGGCGCCCCCCTCGCCGCGTACGTGGGCGAGCTGCTGCCGCTGGGCGCCGCCGACACGCGCGCCGACGACCGGTACATGTTCGCGCTCGACCTCAAGCCGGACCTGCTCGAGGTACGGCGCCATACTACCTTTGCTCGTAAAGCTGATGTAATTCCAACGGTTTTAAATATGTAAAGCGGGTCATAAAAAACGCGTGTGTTACCAAAGCAAATAGTTAAGTTATAGTCCATACATATTCCATAACAGTATTATTTGCCATTTCGCGCGCTGTTGCTATTCAAATTTTGAACTAATCGCCGCGCGGCGCCAGTCAGTAGACAGCGCTACCGCGCTGTTAAAATGGCGGGAAAGCAACAGTGTACATTCACAGATTGAGTTTATTTAATGCTTTTTTTTCTGTTTCCTCGCAAGTGTGTTAAAAAATGTTCGATATACGTGCGTATTGGTTATAACATGCTCGGCTCAATTACGACCTCACCTTCGGCTCGGGCTGAAATTCCGCCTCGCATGTTATAACCATCATAACGCACTAATATCGTAATGTACTATTATACGAACCTTGTGCGTTACTTTCGGTACACTATAAAATAATAGAACTCCTGTTTCAGCGTCTCATGGATCTCTTAAGATATATTGTACCCAACTATTTAACGTAATCAGTTTATTTAATGCTTGCTTTCCGCCAGCGGATTCGCCCGCGTGGTCCGCTGGGACCTTACTTATAAATCCCCCTCCCGCACGTCGTGCAGCAGAAATCGTAATATTTTAATTTAGCTATAACTTCAAAACCAAACTTCCAATTTTAATCATTCAAAGAGCAAATATTATCTACATAAACTGTACTTAATGATGAAATTAATAGCATGAGTAAAATAAACGCGTTTAAATGTAGTCCAAAGACTTCAAGATTTTTAAATAAAAAAATGGTTGTTGTGCCTCACTCGACATAGATAGGTATAGTGTGTCGCGGACTTTTTGTAGATATTTATAAGATCTACAATTAATTATGACGGTTTATGGTTCTATCTAAAAGATATGACTATTGTAGTTTAGAATTAATGTAGTTTAGGCAGCGTACGCAAAATAAGTAACTTTTCTGGTTGATTTTTTTAACCTTGTGTCGGAAAAACACAAATATCTTACGGACCCCTATTTTTTCCAAAATAAAATATAGCCTGTGTTACTCGTGGATAATGTAGCTTTCGAATGGTGAAAGAATTTTTAAAATCGGTCCAGTAGTTTTTGAGCTTATTCATTACAAACAAACAAAGTTTTCCTCTTCATAATATAAGCGTAGAAGAACGATTTTTACCGGCTGCTCGCAGTACGAAATCGCATATTTCGCTCGTAACAGCGTTACACTGAATGAATGTTACTGAGGGTAGTGGTATGTGTGTGTGTATGTGTGTGTGACGCAGCAATGCAGCGACAAGAGCCTGCTGTGCGTGGACGCGTGCCGGTTCGGCAGCGCGGCGCGCTTCATCAACCACAGCTGCCGCGCCAACCTGGCGCCCGTGCGCGTGTTCGTCGCCGCCAGGGACCTGCGGCTGCCCACCATCGTGTTGTTCGCCACCAGGGACATACGGCACGGCGAGGAGCTCACGTAATATATATACACAACAGTTATCTACACACCCTCTCACACACACTCACTCACAATCATCTTGCACACAGAGAGGTCAGCCTACTTTACAATATTAAATATACCTACACTTTATTGATTATATTACATACTAATAACTAGTACAAGTTGATTATTTCTGATCGTTATAACATATTTTCTGAGGACAGTGGCGCTGTATACTGAAATACAGGTATCAACCAAGTTCAGCAACAGATGATAAATAGATTTTAATGAAAAATATTTTAAGAATCACTGGTGTAAACATTCGTTGTATCGATTATATAGTCCATAAGGATTATTATTATTATCTGCGCACGACGTTCACAACAAAAAAGCGAGGCAATCGCCCGAGTTGCACTTTGGTAACGTTTCAGCAAGCGTTGTGGCAAATGTCAGAAAAAATGCCTTCCTTTGTGTTTAAATAATGCGCAAATTACCATTGACGATCAGGAAAGCAAAAGAGATATAATTTCATGCGCAAGCACTGTATTTACACGTTTTTTTTTATTTTAATAAAAATAATAAAACGGCATTCAACGCGGCCATTTTTTCGTGTATCGTATTCTATGAGGATGCAGCTGTTGACACGTAAAGCTGTGCAAGTATGTTTATCTCTTCCTGTGTAGGACTTTAGCTGACCGCACGCCCTAAATACTACCTTATAATTTATTTAAAACATTCTTTATAATATTATCACTTGAGTAACCATTTCTTAAAGTTTCAATGTTCAATTGTAGAACTTGACAGCTTGATTTGCCTGCGTGGTTTACACGATCATTTGATAGTACAGATGTACGGTTCCCCGTATTAAATATTCTGGGCAACCGGATAATAAGAAACCTATATAATTCAAGCTTAGAATTATACATATACCAAATTTTATCAAAATTCGTTAAATAGTTTTTGCGTAAAAGAATAACAAATAAACATACATACATTATACTCGCAAACTTTCGCATTAGTATTATAAGTCAAATCATATCATAATATAACGACATCTATATGTTTCAGGTTCGATTACGGAGATAAGTTTTGGTCAGTGAAGTCAAAGTACATGAAATGCGAGTGTGGCACCCCAGAATGCAGATACCCTGAAAAATCTCCAGAGTCCGATTCTTAGTCACAAAAATTCCATAATAATGATGTCTCTAGTGACTTCTCTTACATTCTTGTATTCAATAAAGAAAAACATTTAATTGATGATATAGCCATCAGAATCAAAACGAATTTGTAAATATATAGCTTTATTTATTTTAAGTTAGTAAGTGTATTTTAACCAATATATTTATAAAACCATTGTCGCATATTATATTCCAATTCCGTACCAATGTTATTATAAAGTCTGGATTAAAAACGCTTAAAATAATACCTCCCTTCGCCGACTAGACACATTTCGATAAACTATACGATTATTAAAAGTTAGTTTGTTAATCGATATGAGTAACCGAATAATAATAAATTGCACAAAATAGTTTTTTGGTGGTGGGAACTTGTCATTTGGAGTCTAGGATAACTCCAAGGAATTTAGCCTGATTTTTCAAAGGGTTGAGTTGTTTTTAAACTTAATTTCAGTACTACTTCAGTACAGTTTAAACTTAGTCTTAGTCTTTAAGCTCTAATTAATGTCAAAATTGTATGATTAATATTGCTTTAAACAAATGAAAATTTTAGTGCAACTGGCTGTAAGACTAGTTAATCAGTTATACAAATAGGTCATACCCTTATTTAGGCGAGCCTACGAGGCATCAATATTTGTGTCTGGGATATATAAACACAAGTCATCAGCATATTGTAGGATATTACAGAAAGAGTTTAAAGTCAGCTCAAGATGATATGTGTATAAACTGTGAGTCCTCCGGTAAAAAATTAAAACCTGGAATGCGGAGTTTTACACCAGGCTGAAGTCTAGTTTCCTACGGCAAATACGGCAAATAGGGTGAGAATAATTTAGGAAGTAGGAATAAAATATTGTATTTCATTAATTTTATTCATACTGCTGCGGTGCCATTGAGCTATTGGCACAAGCAAGTAACAGAAGCTGAGACAGTTGATCATTGACATTGTTTGGGAAGTCAATATCAATCTACTTGGCCATTTAAGCGGTACCGAAATGGCCAAGTAGTTTGATAATTGTTGATAAAATTGGTTGTCATTGGGAACAAGTGGATCGCCTAGGAAAGCACATCCACTGGAAAGCTTTGCTCTAGGGGCCTGTGTGATGAGTGATGTTTCTATGAGCCTGATGGTTAAAGACCTCTTAACCAGCGCAAATCTAACAGATAGTATGATATATTCTACTGCAACAAAAATAATTTAATTTGTTTCTGTCTAGACTGCTCGGGGCAAGATAGATCAGTCGTTTTATGTTGACCGGAGAAAAATAAGCAAATAGGTATATCTTTATTACAATTACAAAAACCTTCGTCAGATTGTGCACAAATGAAACAGTGAGTGAGCCTGTGACCTGCCCTGCGATTCTGTAAAACTTCAAACCCGAATTCGAATCCACTCAGGTGTCCAGGTGGGTTGTCAGGTGGGTTTTTTCCAGAAAAGTTAAAAAGTATGGATGCCCTTATGGATTTCGCCAGAGTCCAGTGTTTCGCTCAGATTAATTCATATTTAGATATTTTATAAACTCTGCTTTTTGTAATACAGAAGTGAAATCTCAAGTTAAATTTAGAATTTTGTTGTATTTAGATTATAGACGAATGTTATTACTCTTAATATAATTACATAAGACGATTATAAAAGGAGAGTTAAGATATCTTAAGACGGATTTAAAATTTGTGGGTTTGGGAATAAATGAGGGAATGTCATCATACAAGGAAGAAGGGTATTTAGGGCAATTGAAAAAAATATGATCGACTGTTCCTACGTCCAGCCCGCATTCACAAATAGAGCTGTCTTTGATCCTAATTTTTGCTAAGAAAGCGGGAGTGTTTGCGTGCCCTAACCGTAGACGACATATGGTGGATGTACATGCCTTAGATATATTTTTAAACTTAAAAAACCACGGTTTAGGAGGGATGGTGTCTTGAATATCGGCGTAATATTTTCCTACATTTTTACTTGATGATTTCCATTGAGCATTCCATGAACATAAACTCCGTTTAACTGCCAAGGAAATTAGATCGTAGGAGAATACTTCGTAATGGGACGGGATACCAATGTTAGCTGCTTCTTTTGCAATTAAGTCAACTGTCTCATTACCCCCCACACCGGAGTGGCCAGGAATCCAGGCTATGAGGACTCTTATTTTTTTAATATGGCATTTATATAGGACGTCTCTTATTTTTAGAACATAAGGGTAGTTGCATTTACTGCGAAAAGGATTTGCTAAAATAGTCTGAAGGCAACTTTTAGAGTCTGTGAAAATTATTGTCTTATCCAGATTATGCGACTCAATATACATAATCGCCTCAAGAATAGCGATAGCCTCTCCCGTGAAAACAGATGAGTCAGAAGGACATTTGAAACTGAGAATTATTTTGAATTTGGGGATCCATACAGCAGAACCTACATATTCTCCATCAGAGAGTTTTGAAGCATCAGTATAAACCACGAGCCAATCGCTCCAATTTTTAATGATCAAATCTTGTAGCAGATCTTCCGCATTTGGGGAATCTTTGAAAATGCCTACATCTAACAAGATGTTAGGACGAAATATGAGAGAGTTGAATGAATTATTAAATAATGGGAGAATCGAACATTGGAATACTGGGGAGGGGAGTCTGATATAGCAAAGGAAGCTACGAAATAGATAAGGTATGGTTTTATGTTTCCAGAACATGTCATGAGATATAAATTCTGAAAGTAAATGTAATTTGTTAATAAGGAGGTGATTCGATTTCTGAATAATTTTGAAAAAGTATCTATCTGATAGGTATTGTCTTCGGATTTCTAATGGGGATTCAGAACATTCCACTTGCATAGCGTTGATAGGAGAAGATTTTTTAGCTCCCAAAATAATACGGAGACACTTGTACTGAATCTTATCAAGCGCTTTTAGAGATGACTTCAAACAAGGTTCCAAAAGAAATGAGGCATAGTCTAAATGGCTTCGAATTAAAGCATTGTACAATAGCTTTTGACAAAAAGGATGGGCTCCCCACCAAACGCCTGACAGTGATCGTATGATATTTAAATTTTTTTCACATTTTTTGATTATATGAGCGATGTGGTGGAATCCTGTCATTTTAGAGTCTAGGACAACTCCAAGAAATTTCACCTGATTTTTCAAAGGGATGAGTCGGTTTAGATATTTTATTTGGACATGAGGGGTATTCCTAGAACGTGTAAATATAACAATATTACTTTTATCAACCGATAATGATAGACCATGATTAGTTAACCAGTCATGTAGATACGATATAGCCGTATTTAGGCGAGTCGATAAGGTATCAATATTTGAGTCTGAAATATATAAACATAAGTCATCGGCATATTGTAGGACATTACAGAAAGAGTTTAAAGCTAGCTCAAGATCATATGTGTACAAGCTGTAGAGTATGGGGCTTAAAACTGAACCTTGCGGAAGTCCTTTCCAAATAGTTCGGGGTGGTAATAGAGAGTCTCTCACACAAACTTGGATACATCGTGCGGTCAAGAGGTTAAATATTATGTTTATAAGTCTCAAGGGGATACTTAGCTTGAACAATTTTTGCCTGAGAATAGGAAGCAAAACATTGTCATAAGCAGACGAAACGTCTAAGAAAACTCCTACAATGTTTTCCCGTTTCGATAGACCGATCCAAATATCAGTGGTGAAAATGCTCAGACTATCCATCGTACTCATACCTTTCCTGAAACCAAACTGACTTTTAGCAAGAAGATCCCTACTTTCGACAAACCACTCAAGTCGATTTTTGATTAGGTGTTCAAGTATTTTGACCATTGTACATGAAAGGGCGATAGGTCTATATCCATTTGGATCATTGCCAAGTTTACCAGGTTTCAGTATGGGAATAATAATTTGCATTTTCCATTCATCTGGAGGGATGCCTGATAAAAAAATTTTATTAAGTATATTAAGGAGAAGCTCCCTAGTTGGAATATTACTATTTACGATAAGAGAGTAAGGGATTCCATCAATACCGGGCGAAGAGTCTTTTAAGCCATCTAATACAGCTGAGAGTTCGTTAAGAGAAAATGGCTCATCGAATTCAGTTAACAGAGACGGTAATGAGATGATAGAATAAATAACTTCACTACTTGATGGAACTGATGGAGGTGCTAATTTACATTGAAATGAGTCAAGCCACTGTGAAGTATCATTTGTAGTGAAATTGCTAGTGTCAACCATAGCACAACGGAATTTTTTAACATTCTTCCACACCAAAGATGGAGGTGTTCTGGGAGAGAGGGATTCACAGAACCTCTGCCAGCCAATTCTTTTTTTTTCTAAAAGGGTTTTCACTGCTTTTGCAGCAACTGATCGATATTTTATGTAATTATACTCTGTCATGGATTTTGCATATATTTTTTCGTACATCTTTCTCTCTTTGCAGACCCTAGTACAATCAGAATCCCACCAGGGAGGAGACCGGGGTTTACCTTTAAAACTATTTTTGGTAGGGATAGATTTATCTGCAGCTGCCAAAATACAACTTTTAAAGTCATTATAGGAAGAGAGATAGTTATTATCGTTAATTGGGGGCAAATTTTGTGTTTCTAATTCTAAATTACTTTTGTATACTGTCCAATCTGCTTTTGCCAAATTATATTTAAGATGGGTACGAGGGATAGTCAGAGTGTTTGGCCGTTCGTTTCGAGAATTGGGAAATAAAATTACTATTGGGAAGTGATCACTTCCATGGGTAGAAGGAAGTATGGTCCAAGTAAGAAGGGAAGCTAAGGATGGGGAGCATAGAGACAAATCAACAGCACTAGCAATATTTTGTATTGGCGATACCCTACGTGTAGGTGATCCATCATTTAATACACAAAGGTCAAATTTATCGCAAATGTCCAAAAAATGAGAAGATAAACGGTCACAGTAATATGAGCCCCATGATGTGTGATGAATGTTAAAGTCACCCAAAATAACTAAGGGATGGGTAAGTGTAGAGACGATATTTGATAATTCAGCTAGGTATTCAAGATTTGGATATGGGATATAAACTGAAAGGTAAACAACATCTAAAGCTTTTAATGCCACTACATTAATGTGTTCACTATGCGATGGAAGTGGAATAAGAGAAAATGTGACAGATCTTGAAACTAGTA